GGATTCCCGCGGAATCTCAATCTCAGGTGAAGGTTGCCTCCTACGGATGGACATTCGCGTGGACACACACTTTTTTTCAGCTAGAGCCGCCAGCCACTTTTTATTGTCCAACGGCGGTCTCAAAAAATAAAAAAAACTACAGCAGCAGTAGTTTGCTTGGTGCGTGCCGTGTGCGCCGCGCTCGCATGCTTGCACGCTTGCACACACGCCCGCCTCAAAAACCACCTTGCTGACAAAATATTTCCTTGTCAAACCCTTGGCACAGCGGTCGTAGAATAGAACTATACAATAGCTGCCGTGTGGTCGCATAAGGTAACACACCGCCCGGACCGAAAGCTCGACTGCTGTACTCCACGCCCGTACTCCACAAGGAAGAGGGTGCGGAGACCAAACGGTCTGTTTTCGGAAAGCTCTCTAGAAGACGGTTCCAACCCCGCCATTTTCGGCCCCGTCCGTAATTGTGCTGCAGACTGATTAGTCGAGCGTTGATGTTCGCTCCAGGGGGTGTGTTACGCGAAGGTGCGGAACCAAACAACTTGCTGTGTCATAGGCATACATGTATGCTTGTAACACAACCCTCCCGAGTTTTTCTCAGCCCTTTCCATGCCTCTCACGGTAAATCGTCATTGAGGTACATTGTACATATATTTTGTTCATGTTGCTTTATTGTGTTCGGTGTGCGAAGACCTCACCCAAAGCGCCTCTGTTTTCTGTTCTAACCCTCTTGCTGTGTTCACCGAATCTCATAGCAGATCCACACCATTGAGGTCGAGCTGCTTCCCAAGCTGGCTAGCCGAAAGTCAGCGAACATTGATAAGGGAGATTTGTGAGGAGAATGGCGCGAGAATGTACACCGGCATCCAGACCGTATTGAAGGACTCGTGAGCAACGAGTGGATGTTTCGTTGCTACTGCAGTGCCAGTTGTCTCCTTGTGCAGTTTCGATGGAAGACATTAGCCTATTGGGAGTCTGTTCAACTGCGTGTTTGTGACATGAACCGTTTTGGCGATGGAGGTTTTGTGTCCTTGGTAACGAGTGCAGATGTAGTCTTTACACAGGTGCACGTTTCTATTGTTCTGTTCGAGGGCGCGTCCTGTGTTGCTTGTAGCTAATTCTGGCACCCTAGGGACATGACGTGGCGATTCACCAAGGAACGCCGGGCTTCGACGAGTGCCTACTGTCGAAGGGACGAATTTTGGAACAGAACCTGCTTCACCAGTCCTTCCTCGCGCAGGCGACAGAATAGGTGTTTGCACGTTGTACTTCATTTTACCTGGCAGATTCCCCCTGAACACTACCAACCGAGGCCTAAAAGGTGCCATGGGCAACTTTGATTTCTTCCCACGCCTAGGCCAGGAGTGCATTAACTGTTATCCGATTTCCGACTCATCGCTTTTCCCGCAACGCTACAAGACGCACTCGTGTTTAAGCATAGGGAAGGGGGAGCATCTCCCGATTGATCCTTGCTTCGGAAGCAGAGGCTACTCATGCTTCTACTGTGTGACCTGGGACCGTGAAGAGAACAAGAACCAGCTGTGGTGCTGGTAAAACCAGCGAGAAGTAGTTGAAGAATGCCTCAGCGTCGACCAGGAAAGTAATATAGTCGTTTCAACACTTTCCTCTCAGATACCCCGCCCATTCGGCCGGAAAGTGGTTAACACGTTGAAATCTCTTCCCAGTGTTCTCGATCCGCTAAAATGAGAACCCTCTCCACCACGCTCGGGGTAGTCGTTGCCGGGATCAAAGATTGCCCAGCCCCCCGGGACGAACGCAAAATAGCTGCAGCCGTATGCCTTTCGGCAACCTGCAGCTTGCTTCACCTCCGCCGCAGCATAGAAATGATCTTTCGCATCCTGGACGTACGTCGGAAGATACGCATTTACCGGAATACGCATTTTTCTTTGGCTCATCACCCCATCTGCCTACCCGTGCTTTGCCCTTCCCTTCGTAACGTTCGGCCACAATTGTTGTGCAACATGCTGCACGCCAGGTCATGGCGCCATCGTCGCCATGCCTCCGACATCCTCACAAGAGTATGGAAACTTCGACATCATGCGCTTCCTCTCCCCACTTGCGAATGGGAAGGGCAACCTCATTGTGAAGAGACCCTGCTCGAAGGCGTGCACTTCGACGTTGCCGACCTCGGGCCTATTCGTCGACATGAAGTGATAGCTGAGTGTTGTGGGCACAGCTGCCGCGCGGGGTCGCGAATTTGTTGGGAATACTCTCGGGCGTGGTGCTTTATGTGGCGGTTGACAATGTCCCAGCCGTAGATCGCCTTTGGTCAGCGTATTCGGCAGGTTCCAGCCCAATATCGCGATGCGGTGGTTTACTCCTGGTGGTTTACTACCATGTGTATTTATGTCAACATAACCAACCGGTGGCACGTAAGTTGGAACGGATAAAGTAGTTGATATTTCGTCCGGCAAAGGGAAGGGCGCAACCAAGTATTGCGTGTGGACGGCAAAGAGTATCATACGGTACATGTTTTCTTTTGCAATTCGTGGAGCATATATATTGCAAAGATTGTCCGCTTGAGCGGGATGGAGAGGATTGCAATTGCTTGAGTGCCGTTTTGAGAAGACAAGGGAAGCGTTGTTTGTCTGTGACATGCATCGTGTGTCTTGACCTTGCGGTTTTTTCATGGTTAAAATGTCCTGTTCTGTTCTAGCAAAAGCAAGACGTATCTGTTGTCAGTCGTGGATCAAAGCGGGTACAGAACGCGCCAACACGAGACCTTTCTTTTTGGGCGAGGCTTGTTTCTTGTTTGCTCGACGGGGTACCCCCATAGCGACTACATAGAGTTTAGCGTGTAGATATCTTGCTTGAGCACCTGTTTTCATGGTCAAGGTCATAGATTCTGGATATTTTCAGGCTCCAGTTCTTAAGTGGTGGCGCGTTCTGTATTTCGCACGGTTCAGCCACGAGACGTTGAACATGATGCAAAAAAAAGTCCCGCGATCGCTATGGCAAATGCAAAAAAAATGAACCAGTACAGACACCTGAAATCGCGGCCGCAGCTTGCTTGCAGGGTGCGATTCGGCCACCCTGTCAAGGTGGACCCTATCCAGGGTGTTTAGCATAGACCTTGCAGCCGGTTCACCTTTCTGCCGTTCACAGGGTGGGGTATCCTGGCCGGGTGGCCAAATGGCTACGGGTGAAGCCAAAAAATAGTTCCGATGCCTTCCGTGCTTCGGCACAAATAACTTCCTCTCGCAGCCAAGGAACTTTTCTGGTGGTTCCTTTGTCAGCGGCAAGCAGGAGGCTCGTCGGTACATTACCGCGCCTGCCCGAGGAAGCGCCAGGCATCTGTCGCACGAGCAAACGACGCCTAAAGTCTCCCCGACTAGCTCGATTTCGCGGGGAGGTATTCCGAACCAGCAAGGCCATCGCAAGAAATACTAAGTTTTTGCGTAAATAAACAGGACGAATTCAGATTCCTGCGCACACGCGTTACCCCAGACCGTGCACATCGTAGTACGAAAATGAGTAGGCGGGTTACAGCAAGTGGGATCATTACTGTGATACCAAGTCACCAAGGTCGCCACGCATACACACATCAGAAAAAAATGTGTACACGACCCTGGCGGCAGGTTGCGGGTTGTTACTCTCTTCGGAGGTTTTCTTTCCGGGAATTTCACCCAACAACCTGTAGTTGTTTGAAAGCGAAGTTGGTGAGAAAACAAACTTCGGCTTCACGGTCGACGAGAGAAATGGACGGCTGAACCCTTATCGCGACAAAAACTAAGGCAAACACCGCAGGGGGAGAGGTTTGGGGTAAAACAATACAAAAACATGAACAAAACTCCTGCCTTTGTGACCTGCCCTTGTGTTTTTTTTTTTCTTCTTTTTCTCCCATCATTGGACTCTGTTGTCTGCCCCTCTAGCCCCTATCCTCCACTTCTACCAGCTACCAGATAGACGACCCAACCGGGGTCACATAGGAGGGGGGTTTGGACCCTCTTGCGGCTCCTGCCTGAGATATGTTCATCGCGAGAGGGGTACAGCAATCCCTTCCCTCGCAACATATGAAGTCGATCGTGTGACGCCGGCTGAAACGACAGGTATGTACATGCATACCCCGAGAGACCTATTAATCGGCGCCAGTTCAGTTTTGGGCACGCGTACGGTGCTGCAGGGATTATATATAGGTGTAGTAGTACCTCTTCGGGCTCTCGTACACCTTTTTCTTGCTATATATGCGTGTTCTTTAGATCCTCAGATGGCTCCAGCACTTTCGTGACCATGGGCCGAGAGTCTTTGCTAGATTTTGGCATTTAGCAACTGGCATACGGTTAAATGTGAAGTCAACAACAAGTGTAGACGATACGGCACAGACATTACAAAATGCTAAAATAATGTCTCAATCAGAGAGTAGCGTTTATTTCCCCATGACGCTCGGTCCCAGATGCCCAGGTTGTGGCCGCGAGAAGCATTTTGTTGTGTTTTCAACCGCACCCTGAGACTCAAGTCTTTTCATTGGTCAGCCGGGTGGCGTGGTCGATGCTACTTGCTACTGGAGTAATCATCAAGACATAGTCTACAAACCCTCTCTGGGGGAGCAGGGGGGGGGGCTTCAATGCCCTAGCAAAGACATAACAAAACTCAGGCGTTTCTTCGGGGGTGAATTTCTCAGAAGAGGTCTGCGGCCGCCCCTTGTAACTTGAAGGCAGAAACTACGGCATAATTTTTTGAGTCATACAGCAGTAGACGTGGCTGTGGGTTAAACAACAAAAACAATACACGTGTGTGCACCAGTGCACATCATTACCTTCATTGGAGAATATGCGAGTTTACCTTCCTGGAGATAGTGCCCTGTGCGTACAGTAGGGGTGTGCTGCAGTCTTGGTAAGTAGCAGCGGGGGTCTGTGTGACCGCACCTATCGATCGGGTGGGCCATGTCCGCTGCAAAACGACGATTTTGGTGAAATCCAACAAGGTCTTGTCGTTCCCCACAACATGATGGAGTGATACGCGTACACGAGACTACCGCTTTACCGCTACTGGCCTGCTGCACTCACCCTGTCACCGCTGAGCCCATGCAAGAACTCTCGCAAGAACTCTCGGAGCTCCACTTCCCCCAGACCAGGCAGCAACATTTGTAAATCCCCCATCGCTTGCTTATCGGAAAAGATTGTGTCCTCGGTTACGATGTGTTGTTGCCCTTGTACAAGAGCGCGGAGCTTTTCAACAATGTCTACTCCCTGTCGTATATCAGGTTCCGAGGCAGTGACGACGGTAAGCTCTCTCTCAGCACGGGCGATGGCCTTGTTGAGGTGGAAAAAGTGCTCCGAAGAGAGCGATCGGTCTTGAGCAGCCTTCTCGAACAACTCCGTCTTGTTGCGAACATCTTCCATTTCGTGCTCAAGGGCATTATCTGTTTACGGGAGAGGGATTCGAGAAGGCGGGGAACAAGCGAGGAGAGATGAGACACAGAATACGGACAATAAACCGCGTGCCGCAGACACCGGATCTCTACATATTACACGGCGAGGTACAAGCAAGGATGCTTACGTACCTGCTGCTCTGCTGGAGCTCATTTAGCTTGGTGTTTTGCAAAACAGAGCAGGCCGATGCTGAAAATGACAGCCTACGGGGGTGCGGGGGCTATGGTCTATGACGTATATATGTCTACTATATATATACGTCATAGACCATAGCTTCGCGATGGACGAGAGTTGCTGGAAATTTCTAGGCCTGTCCTCCATCGGCCGCGGCCGAAAGAGCCGATTTCTGGAAATTTCGGCCGGGAAACGGCCGCAAAAAAAAACGGCCGATTTTGCAAACAAAGCAGCCGATTTTGGCCAGGGGATAGCCGAATGTCAGTCGGCTACGGCCGATTCCTAGTCGGCTACGGCCGATTCCAAATCGGCCACGTCCAATGTCCGATTTCAATGGGCCACCCCCCTCCCCCCCCCCATAAATTCAATGTTGTGGGGAGTCCTACGTACCTACCTACCCTTTTCGAACATTTTTTCACTTGCGCGGTGGTCTCCGCGTCTCCGCACTTGAAAAAAAAACACACAAAAAACTTCCAGCTTCCAGCTCGCCCATAGCTCGCAGCTCGCAGAGATGAAACACGTAAGAGTAGGCTTCGGAGGCGTGTGGTATGAAATAGTACTCTTTTTCTCAATGATGACTAGTGATAATCCGGTGCATTACTGCTACTAGACACAGAATTATTTACTTCCAAAGAACACAGATAAATGGACGAGCCCCGATCCATCTTNTAAGAGTAGGCTTCGGAGGCGTGTGGTATGAAATAGTACTCTTTTTCTCAATGATGACTAGTGATAATCCGGTGCATTACTGCTACTAGACACAGAATTATTTACTTCCAAAGAACACAGATAAATGGACGAGCCCCGATCCATCTTGCGCAACAAGCATAGGATGCACGAGAGGGTGTTAAAAGGGTACCTGTACGGGCTAGTACGGGCACACATTGGGGTGGTCGAAAAAAAAAATGGGGTGGCCGAAAAAAAAACTGGGGTGGCCGAAAAACAAATTGGGGTGGCCGAAAAAAAATTGGGGCGGCCGAAAAAAAATTGGGGCGGCCGAAAAAGGAAAAAAAGCGGCCGAAAAAGGAAAAAAAGCGGCCGAAAGAGAAAAAAAACACAGCGGCCGAAAAAGGAAAAAAAACGGCCGATGGAGGACAGGCCTAGAAATTTCTGGATTATTCTGTGCCTCCCTGTGGAGATCTTCCGCCTTCAATTTCATCCGGGAGAAGCAAGTCAAAGGGTCCTTGGCTGTGCCTTCGTGAACGTATCTCTGGTTACGTGTGGCGGTTGATGTGACACTCGCGTGGCCCATACTTTTTCCTCCTCCCAGTACTCTATGTTCTTTGTTTGGCGGTGATCTAAACGATGGCCGAAGCATTCGTCGCCCCGAACGTCGCGTTGAGTCAGCTGCATCCGGGACGCCCAGAGATTGAAAGTGCTCTGCGGGACATTGACACCGCCAGTCAGGGGTGGTTTGGCAAGGCAGAATCTGCGAGCCTCGGCGATTACTGCCATCGAGCAATCGATGGTTTGACTGTGTTCCTGGGCAACCTGGGCGACCTCAAGGTTTTCCGCGCTGGAGACGGGCCGAAGAATCTTCAGAAAGCTCTGCGGAAAGTGGCCCGGTACTTACACAAGAAGGCAGACCCCCGTCACTTCGTCCAACAGGTCATCAAGCATGTGACGGGTGACGAATCGATCACCTCAACGGAGAAATCTCTGTGGGATGAAGTCACAGAGGCGGTGCGCCTCCATGTGGAGGTCGTTGTCGAAGCCGCCAAGGTGAGGTGATCGAGTTCGGCAACGGTTCTGGAGAACGAACTCTGGACACAGCGTAGAAAGAAGCACACGAGTCAATTGTGTTGGGTTGTGTGCGTACGTATGCATACATGCATATATACATTACGATGCATCCCGCAAAATACAACACAACGACAAGATTCGCATGCCCCAACCCAAGCAAAGTGAAAACGACGCGATGGGGCAATGTTGATGCCGAGAGCTATGTACCCGCTTCAGCGACCTTTGCTGCATAAAAACAGCGGGGCAACCGCTGTGTTTTTTTTTTCTGGCGTTTGTTTTTCTGAACGACGTTGCGTGATGTGGAATCGGCCGGCGGTGGCCTATCGCACGTGGATTGTTGTTGTTGTTGTTGTTTCTCACATTAGCTCTTATAGGTCCACAAAAAATGGGGAGCCCGTGTTCTCAAAACCCGGCACATACGACGCCGCGGGGAAACAAAACAAAAATAGGGTACAAACCACTCGGAAAAAGAAAACAAAATGACAGAAAGAAAAGAACAGGTACAGCACCGACCGAAAAGAGCCCTCGGAAACCGATCAAAATAAAACAAAAACAAAAATAAAGGAGGACGCTTCCCACACCCGCCCAAAGAAAAAATCAAAGGGTAACGTACCAGCACCAGGCACTACGCACCAGGGCACGGGAATAACGGAGCAAACAGGACAATGAGGCGGCAGATAGGCAGACGGCCAGACGTACAAAAACAAAGGCAACAGCAAAGCGAGATCAAGGTACCCAACACAGCAGAGCAGGCAGGGAGGCCATGAAAAAAGAAACGCAGCACAGAGGCCGAAGGCAATACAAAGAGGACATACATAAAGGAGTATTGCATACAGCAGGGAGGGAAACAGGGCGCAACAATATCAGCCGGGTACATAGTTAGCCACAAGTGCTGCCTCGGCCGCCCTACTCGGTTCTACAGCAGTGCCCGGTCGCCGTTTCTTCCCCACCACCGCCGCTTCCCCGGCTCTCTTTCTCTTCGGTCCTGAGATGGCCGTACTCTCTGCTTCTGCCTCCCTCGCGCGCTGGCGCTTCGCGGACGCTTTCGCCCCCTGCCTGTGCCATTTCCTCATGATCCATGCCGCCCGGTCCTCGACCTTGTTGTACCACACCTCCGGATCCTTGGCGCTCTCTTTCCATTTACCCCTTCCTTTTCGTCTCCCATGTTGAAGGCCACGAGGTCCTCTCCTAGACGAGACACCCAGTCGCTCTCCTGCCCGCCCCGGTATCCCACGCCCCCCGCCATCGCTCCTAACAGCATGCGCTTGGGGAGGCGGCTGTCCTCCATGCGCATAACAAAGCCCGCGAAACACGGTCTCCGTTTGCGCACGGTGGCCTCGATGGTTTCCTCGCAGCCTGCCTGGATGAGGGATATATGTGTGTAGATGTGCCAGTGGGGTCGTGGGTTTGCGCCTCTCGAAGTTGCTTGCGATCAAAGTGTGGAGGGATGCTACGATACGGGGTACCCCCCCCGTCACATGGAGTGTTTAGGCGGACTGGTGTGTACTGCCTCAACCAATGGAAAAGGTGCTTGTTGTTTTGCACACCGCGAGATGTACGCTAGGCGGCTGCCTGGGCAGAATTGATTTCCTTGAAATGCAAAAATTGAGAGAATTACGTGCGTTTTGTCTCACTTCCCGAAAAATGCCATTTTTATTATTGTGTCGCCGCGCAAAGGCCGGGCCTTGGAGGTGGATTTCTCCCCCTCCTTCCCGGCCCTTAAGCCTACTAAGGAATCCACACGCTTCTTTAAGAAATAAGAACCAGGCTGACCACATCCCCCTGGTCGCCCAGCTTGGACACAAACCTCCCCATCACGAAGTCTTGTTCTTGTTACTTCTGGATCCCTCTTCACGATTTCTTCCCCATTCCGTCCCTTGCCCCGGTTGTCTCTCAAATACCCCTTCACCTTCTTCCAACACCGCCGACACCCATGCTGGATCTTGCATGTTCGCCCTCACGTATGCCATGAATGCGTTCGACGACCACCTCCCTTCTTTCTATATCACCGCCTCCGGTACCATAAATGTTGCCGTTGCACTTAATCCTTCACTTCCATAAATCCCGAATAGTTCCAACATCAATTCCACCGCTCCATTCGCCCTCCCCCTCGCCCTGACCATCATCGCTCCTTTCCTCCCTTGGTCTCCCTTCGAGCCTCTCATCTGCACTTCTATCTTATCTGCTCGCAACCTCTCCTGTCCTTCCAGCTGCTTATCGCCCTCGAAGAATGCTACGTCCCCCCTGCACAGGCAGTACACTTCGTGGATTATTCCATCCTTTTCCGCAAACAACTCTGACGCCCTCAACATCAGCAAATATGTCAATGCCAATCCGATCCATAGCACTTTCCCCCCTGCACCCTCATCGCCAACACTCTGCTGCATTGCACTCAACATTCCCCATGTCAAAGGTCTCCTCACTCTTGCTTGTGTACCTTTGCCCACGTGCCCTCTCTTAATATCTTCTGCTACCCTTTTGATGTACGGGTTACTCAACGGCAAAGACATGTTCTGATACTGTTGATAGAAATTTACCGCCACGAGCTTCCCCATGATCGTCGAATCCCTGTTTCCAAGAAACGCACTACAGTAAGCCATGTACTCCGCCAGCTCCTCCACTATCTCCCCTTCCTCCGACCCCTTCGCAATCGATGGGCTCTTCTGCACTCGTTCCCTCCACTTTATCCACATGTCCAAGCCCCCGTGTAAGTTTTTCTAGTCGACGCTGCAACTCTTCCAAGTGCGTAGCTTCGCGCAAAATCTTTGCACATAGCTGCTGCTCCTCGGCCTTCAGCTCCTGCACCTGAAAACACCAGCCCCCAATCGTCTCCAAGGCTCCCATCATCCTCATCAGTGCCCCTATCCTCGCCTTCTTCCCCCCCCCCACTTCTTCACCCACGACACGGCGCTCTCATTGTCCGCCCTCATCATCACCGCCTCTCCTTCCCGCTCCGGCCTATCCCCCCCTCGAAATTACCTTCACATACGCCGTCATCACCATCGCCATTAGTTCTAGTACATT